CCCTGGATAAAATGTCAGCCGGGTTCTCCTTCGTATTAATATACGACCATGAATACTGTGATGTTAAATAATGAACCTTACTCACACGATTTGCAACGAACGGTTTCCAACGCATTGCATCCGATGCGATCCACGCTAGTACCACCTTATAATCACTCCAGCAATAAATATTCGTAACATTAATTCGTAACGCTGGAACTATTTTTTTTATTAATTTTGATAATAGTAAGGCAGTGCATAACTCTAATCGCGGTATTGTTATTATACTTATCGGCGCAATTCTTGATTTTGCGCATATTAGTTGTGAGTGGCGACTACCGTCCGCGCGCGTGCATACTACATATAAACAAGCCCCGTACGCTTTGCACGATGCATCGGCAAATCCGTGTATATATATTTTTTCTGTGTCGTCACACTGCAACCAGCGCGGGACACTTAGATTATTGCATTGATTTAAATCCTTTAAATATTTTTTCCATTTTATTTGAATTTCTGTTGATAATTCATCATCCCAATTTATTTTTAATTTCCATAATTGTTGCATTAATATTTTAGCTACCACGATAACCGGTCCGAGCAATCCGAGCGGGTCGAATAGACGTGCTATATTAGATAAAATACTTCGTTTGGTTATCTTATGTTCAGGTATTGGTAACGACACTTTATAAATTAAACTATCCGAGTTTGAATCCCAATACAAACCTAATGTTTTTATTGCTTCAGTTTCCATATTTAACGAGTATAGTGAGTTTTCATTAGGAATTGGTATATATTTTAATAAATCGGCATGATTAGCTGTCCACTTGCTTAATTCAAATCCATTGTTACTTAAACATTTAATTAATTCATTACGCAAATTTAAAGCTTCCGATAATGTTGAGGCGCCCGTTAAACAATCGTCAACACAAAAATCATGCTTTATTATCTGAGCTATCTCCGGACGTATTTTATTTACATCCGCCGATTTATGAAGACACGCAACCGATAAGAAACTTGCAGGTACCGTTCCGTATGTTACTGTACACAATCTATATTTCTTAATAGGCTCATTAGGATCACCGCGCCACAATATGCGCTGATAATCTCTATCTGCATTATCAACCCATACCTGCCTATACATTTTTTTAATATCAGCTGAAAATGCATATTTATGTGTACGAAATCTCGTAACAATTAATGTGAGGTCATCTTGTAATATAG